AAAATGTTATGATAAATCACAGAGAAAAAATGTGACAATGAGTGTGTATATGTCCATGAATGACTGAAAAATTGTGCTGAACACTGGAATTTGACACAACATTGTAAAATGATTATAAATCAATAAAAAATGTTAAAAAAAAAAAGGAGGGGGTTTGTTCTCCTGGAGACTGTGTGCTTTTAATGAGAAGTCTTTCTGTCTTTGCCCTGTTTCATGAACTCGGCTTGCTGTTTCCAGAGGCCCTCTGTTGGTGCCCTCATCTGTGCTAATCCCAGTGCCTGTCCGCAAGCAGATCGTGCCCCCTCCCAACACTGGGTCAGGTGCTGCTCGCCTTCGCAGTGGATGGGCAGGTGACTCCCCCTCCCGATGCCACAGTCAGATGCTGCTCTTGGGTGAGGTAGGCGAGCAGAGCATGCCCCCACCCAGGACCGCAGTCAGGTGCTGCGTTCCTGCCAGGAAGCCAGGTGGCCACCCGCACTCTCCCGGTGCCGGTCGCTCTACTGCTCTGTGTCACTGCGCACTCCGCCTCAGGTTGGTGCTCCTTAGGCAGGCTGATGGGAGACCGCAGAACAGCCCTGTCCCTGCTCCGTGCCAAAACTCGGCTCCTTGTTTGTCTTGGCGGTGCGATTTCTCTGAGGTACTAGAGGGGAAGGATACTATCTGCCTAGGGCTGTAGACAAGTCTCCACCTGGCCTTTGAGGCTGCTGAGCCCTTAGGCAGGATTCAGGTTTCACCTCCGCCCACGCCTGGGTGCTAAGCGCAGGAGGATATGGCAGCTGTGCCTAAGCCCTTCCTTTCTTCACCCGAAAACATTCCTCAGGTTTTCAGAGATGGGGGTATACCCACCCTTCCCCTCAGGGCACATCAGCCGTGTTGTTTTATGGAGGGCCCAGGTTGTTCTGCCCTGTGTACCCACTAATCCACGGTGTGCAGCCCCCTGCAGTCCCCCCAGGCTGCCTCAGTGCAGCTGCCCCAGTCCTCCACCCAGCTCAGACAGCCTGTCCCAGCCCCCAGCTGCTGGCTCGCATCTCGGGCTGGGTGTTGTGGGGAAACTCTGTGCCCGTTTAACTTAGTTCTGTTGGTCAAGGGCTGCTCTGTACAGATCCGCACCTTGGAGGCTCCCCCTCCGTCCTGCTGGCCTCTCAGTTGGAGAGGGGAGACCCAGCAAACGAGCACCCATCCTCCTTTGCTGGTCCCTCCCCGCGGGACCCGTCCCTCACTGTTTTGCCTTTTCATCTTTCTTTTTTCCTTTTCTTCTACCAGATTTTTGGTGTCTCTGTCTTTTGAAGAAGGCAGTGTTCTGTTGGAGTTCCGCAGGTTCTCTGGTTGGCTGAGTGGGTTTGTGGATGTGAGTCTTGGTGCATTTGTGGGAGAGGGTGAGCTACGAGAGTCCTTCTACTCTGCCATCTTGGCCTCCTTTATGTGTGAATTCTTTACCTGGTAAACTGTTTATTTCTGTTTCATTATATATTTTTTCAGAAGGTTTTCTCCTGGTGTTTCCATTGAGACCCATTCCTCTGCCTTCTCATTTTGCTTAAGTTCTTCTGTCTCTACGAATTTATTTGAAACAGTTACCTATTGCAGTCTTAAAGGAATGTCCTCTGTGAAAGCATCTTTATACAAACTGCTAGCATGCAGTACCTTTGAGTGGAGAGCCAGATTTGATGTGGATGCAAGTTATGTCTTTCCTGAGGGTGTGCTAGCATTTATCACCTTGATAGGAAATTGGGCTGAAGATGGAGGTGCTAGAGCTGGAGCTAGGTGTGAGGTGGGGCTTCCCTTCTGCTTAGTGACTGTCACAACCCTATTGAGGGATAGGGTTGGAGTCAAGTTGCTGGAGGAGAAGCCCTGAGGGTCAGGTCCAAAATGGCTCTGTTCCCTCTGAGTGTGTGCTTCCTCTCTTCCAGCACTGGGACTCTTGCCCCAGAGGGGAGCAGTGCTGAAGCAAGAGGGGCCCGTGCATGTTCTCGGCTCATAGTGGGGCATGGGCTGTGACATAACTTCCTCAGTAAGCCTAATTATTTTTAGCTTTTGATTTAATCTGAGAGATGTGCAACTTTTTTTTTACTTGAATATCTAGAGGCCATTGTAGGGTTATGAGTTAGTCTAATTTCAATATTGTTGTGTCTCAAGGAATAGAGAGACTTGAAGAGAGGGAGAGGGCTGATGGAATGGCTGGTTGGTGGAGCACTGAGAACACACATGATAATTTATTCACTGTCTTATGTGGGTGTGGTTCATGGATTCCACAAACAATTGCAATAGGAACATCAAAGATCATGGATCACAGATTACCATAACACCATAAAATAATTTAAAAGTCTGAAATATTGTGAAAATTACCAAAATGTGACAAAGAGACATGAAGAGAGCAAATACTGTTGGAAAAATTGCACCAATACATTTGCTGGACATGAGGTTGCCACGAACCTTCAATTTGTAGGAAATGCAATATCTAGGAATCAAAATGAAGTGAAGCACAGCAAAACGAGCTATTCCTGCATATAATGTAACAAATCAATTAAAGTTCTTGTGCACTTTGTTGAATTATATGTAAATGAACTCATGCAATATGTATACTTAATTTTTGTATGGCTTCTTTAATTCAGCAAATTTTGCATTTCATATGTACAGTTTATTGCATATTATTATACTGCAATACATAAATGAAAAGAAAAAAATTAATAATTTAAGATTCAAGGTAAGGTCCATAGCACAATTACCTGAGTCACAGTTTAACGGGAGTGGGAGATACATGTCTAATTGGGTAGAAAGCAGCATGTCAGATATGGAATATAAAAACAGTGGCATAAAATTAAGGCAATTCACATTTAATAAACTTATATTTTGTAAAATATAAGATTAACCTACACATATAAATAAAGCAAACTGACATAAATTGGTTCAAGGCAGGGTATAATATATTCTGACACAACATCATGGACAAGCTATAGAAACACAATGTGCAGACTGACAGCTGACTACAGACTCATGAGTATCTGAGCACAGATCAGAATAACTTCCTCCTACATAATCTCATACAATAATAAAAGCATTATGTTAAACCACTTGATTTAAGACCACTTGTTATGCAGCAATAGCTAAATGATACAATAATCAAAGCAAACAACAATAAAAATATTACAAAGCAGTTGTAATAATCTGTTGCTTTTTCTGGCATCTATTCTGATATTGGAGGTATCATTCGTGATTTTTCCCTTAAAGTTTATTTCAGTAACTGTATTATCAAGTAGCTAATTTAAGGTTTGTTTCTGGGAACTTAAAGAGGTTGGAAAGACATTGCACATGTGTGCGGAAAAAAATGGTGACCCTGAATCACATAACTGTGCAGGAATACAAGCTCTCTTGTGAATTATTTTTTGATCATGAAGACTGAAAGATTCCTGAGCATGAAAGAGATATAGTATGGGTGACCTCGATATAGTTCATTCACTGTTCTGTGTTTATGGCAAACTTTGGAAAACGGGAGGTATTTCCTAGAGCAATAGAGTCGTATTTGTAGGTTTCACTAGATTCAACCAAAAACTGGAAGATAATTATATAACAGAACATAAAATACACCAATCAATCCTTCACATAAACAAACAAACAAACAAAAAAAAACCCTCACTGGTGTTGAGGGTTGAATATACAGCAAAAAAAGAAATATTTTGTATACTAATAAAATGTATGTTTTAATTTGTTTCTTCTTCATGTTTAAAGCCATCTCTGATACTAAGATGATATTAGGTCAATCTATTTACTCAAATTTGTCTTTTCAAGTAGACACCACTGGTAGACATATATTTGATAACAACTTTTTGCCAGTGACTACAGCAGACACTGTGGGCCCTGAATGGAATAAGACAATAAAACCAAGAGACCAGTTATAAAACACAGTGAAATGTAAAGTCTACATTATCAGGAAGAGCAATTAAGGAAGTGAAATAGAAAAGAATTATGGGCCCAAAGCAAAACCTGTGGTTTCAGATTTTCAATGCAATGAAATTATATAAATGGGCTTTTTTGTCACTTGTATTTTTTCCAAGCAAGTGTGACAAGTCATGACTATTTTCTCAGGGAACCTAGAGAAAAAAATATTTGGGATAATATATGTCATTTGAGAAGAAATTATTTGTAAGTAATCCATGTTGCCCCATAAAATAAATGGAAATTTTCTAGTATTTCCTTCCTAACTTTGTGGAAGTAGGAGAATGGACAAAGGGGTAACTACTTATAAGTCAGATGCAGGGGAAAGTGTCAACAAATGAGTCACATCAACTGTATAAAGGGTTAAAGTAAAAGAAATAAAAATTGTAGGTAATAAATAGAAAGAGTAGGTTCAACACCCAGAATCTGATCAAAGAATAGCAATTTCTTGTTCTGAGGCTTTGAGTGTTTCTTCAAAAGTACTTCGTCAGACCTACAACAATTTGCCTTTTTATAACTGCCATCTGAACAACTCTTTTCAGAGCCCTCTTTATGTCTTTGTTCCTCAGACTGTAGATGAAGGGGTTCAACATGGGGGTGACCACTGTGTACATCACCGAGGCTCTTGCACTTGACTGTGAGCTGTGGGTTCCAGCAGAGCTAAGGTACAGTCCTAGGCTTGAACAATAATATAGGGAGACAATGGAGAGGTGAGATGCACAGGTGGAAAATGCTTTATACTTCCCCTGAGCTGATGAGATTCCACATATGGAGGAAACGATCTTGGTGTATGAGTAAAGGATCCCAGAGAGGGGAACAACAGCCAGAAGCATAACCATAAAATATATCATGATGTTGTTAAGAAAGGTGTCAGAGCAGGCAAGTTGGATAACCTGTTTGATTTCACAGAAAAAGTGGGAGATTTCTAAGACTGTACAGAAGGACAGTCGCAGCACAAGTAAGCTTTCTAACAGGGAATGCAGGCCACTTATGATCCAAGAGACCAGCACCAGCAGTCCACAGAGCCGGAGGTTCATGATGATCGTGTAGTGCAGGGGGCAGCAGATGGCCAAGAAGCGGTCATAGGCCATCACAGTCAGAAGAAAATCATCCACCACTGCAAAGAGTATGTAAAAATACATTTGGCTGATGCAGCCTTCATAGGATATGACTTTGCTCTGGGTCTTTATATTTACTAACATCTTTGGGATGGTGGTGGAGGTGAAACAGATGTCTACAAAGGACAGGTTGGAGAGAAAGAAGTACATGGGGGTGTGGAGGTGGGAGTCCGAGATGACGGCCAAGATGATGAGCAGGTTTCCAAACACGGTGACCAGGTACATGGAGAGGAAAAGCCCAAATATGATGGGCTGCAATGCTGGTTCTTTTGCTAATCCCTGAAGAAGAAATTGTGAAATTCGTGTATCGTTGCCTGGTACCATGTGGTGACGGTGATGACTAGGCATGAAAAAAAAATTGCATCTTTTACACAAGCGGGTTTTACCAACAGTTGAAATGTTAAAATTTACATTTTACACTCAAGAAATCAACTTTTTCTGTATGGGTTATTCCCTTTAAGGGATCTTTCATGACATCCCTGACTAGGAATTCTCTTAGAGAGAAAAGCTATAGATGAGTGGGAAAAAAATCTAAAATGCTCAGCTGGTTCTACATAGATTATTATGAGGAGAAATCTCTCATACTTCCCCCCAAGAGACAATATATTGAACAGTTCCAATGATAAATGCTTTCATGTGTTTGAGGAATATGTGTTGAGTGGTGATCACCTAGGCAAAAGGTATAGGATGCTGAGGAACAGAAACCAAACTATATAATGATATTGAAAGAATATAAGCAAATAAATATATGTCATGTCACATGGTGACTGATGTTATGAAGGAAAAATGTATGAAAAACAGTGGATGGGCGTGTTATTTCTTATTGTTAAGAAGAGAGTTCAGAAGACCTGTAAAAGATGAAGGCAAAGCTTGAGACATGAAGATGTCTAGGGGAAGCATGTGCCCTGTAGGGTAAAGAGCCAGAGAAAAGACTCTTAGGAGGGCTCTTGTTTCAGATATTCAAGACTGAAAGTTAAGCCAGTGTAGTGAGGGAATGAGCAAGAAAGTGTGATGAGAAATGATGCCAGAGAATGTTGAGGAATGAGGTGGCTTCTCTGCTACCGCTGGAAACTTCAAGTCACAGGGGGTACATCATTCACATACTGTTCTTTGCACTTTATTAATTTTGTTTCCAAAAAAAATGCTGTGAGTAGAAATCTCTATCTTTTGGTTAACATTCTGGTGTCTGTATTTTAAGAGTGGGGTGAGATGGTCCCTTTGTCTCTCCCCTTCAATCTAAAACCAGTAAAACTTTCATAACTCAACAAAGGTGTTCTGCCCAACACACCAGGACACCAGAGAATTCCACAGATGTACACATCTGTACATCTAAAGGTGGGAAGACTGGAAGTTATAGAGGAGACAGAACT